TTTCAATGAAAAACAACAACAAATCACAGCGTTCGAGGGAATGAGGATTTAACAGGCCAGCTGACAACAAGGACACGCAAGAAGAACAGATACTCCGAGGGTGCTCTGTTATCGTGGCTAAGCAAAACAACTCGCCATTTTTCATCAGAGCTGTTGGCAGTGCTGGAGAAGAGAAACTGCTCCCATTTTCAGGACTCCTTCCCAAAAACGCTTGCCTGCTGCCCTCACTTGCCTTCAGTGGCCGAATCATGGAGACACCTCCAGCTCATAGTTTTACCATTGCCCTCACTGACCGTGTTGCAGCCCAGCAAGAGGGAATCTGTGGCTTGCAGGTCTAATGAGGCTTCCCAGGCCTCTGTTATCAGAGATGGATTTAGGGGAATGCAGCCAGTTCAGTCTCATTGGACACAGTACCTCGGGGATGCTGCAAATGATGATGATGATGATTTTTTTATTATTTATACCCCACCATCTGTCTGTGTCTATAGCTGGACCATAAAGAAGGCTGATCGCCGAAGAATTGATGCTTTTGAATTATGGTGCTGGAGGAGACTCTTGAGAGTCCCATGGACTGCAAGAAGATCCAACCTCTCCATTCTGAAGGAAATCAGCCCTGAATGCTCACTGGAAGGACAGATCCTGAAGCTGAGGCTCCAATACTTTGGCCACCGCATGAGAAGAGAAGACTCCCTGGAAAAGACCCTGATGTTGGGAAAGATGGAGGGCACAAGGAGAAGGGGACGATGGAGGACGAGATGGTTGGACAGTGTTCTTGAAGTTATGAACATGAATTTGACCAAACTGCGGGAGGCAGTGGAAGACAGGAGTGCCTGGCGTGCTCTGGTCCAGGGGGTCACGAAGAGTCGGACACGACTAAACAACAACAACAACATCTCTGTGTGTTTCCCCAGCCACTCTGGGCTGCTTACAGCACATATAAAACATAGTGAAAGCACAAACAGAGTTCAGGGTACGTGGGCCAGGCAAGAGGTTCATAACCAAATGCAAGCTCCAAGATGTTCAGGCAGCTGACACCAGTGGCGTAGCGTGGGGGGTGCAGGGGGGGCGGCCGCACCGGGCGCAACATCTGGGGGTTAGGGTTAGGGGGTGCAAATCCACGGGTTAGGGGGCGCAAATCCACGGGTTAGGGGGCGCAAATTACTTGCCTTGCCCCGGGTGCTGACAACCCACGCTACGCCACTGGCTGACACGCTGCCTCCTCCCAACCTTTTGAAGACTCTCTGCTTTATACCAAGTCAGACCATTGGTTCAAGACTGTCAACACAATCCCACCCCAGCAAGGGCAAGGAGAGCACTGGAAGGTGTGCTGGCATCATTGGCACTCCTGGATGTTGTCAATGACACCATTGCCTGACTTGCTTCAAACGTCTGAAAGGCTGTTGTATGGAAGATGGAACAAACCTCTCCCTGCTGGTCCTGAGAGCAGAACTAGAACCAATGGGATAAAACTGCCAAGAGCCAGATTTCAACTAAAGCTTAGGAAAAACTTCCAAAGAAGGGGAAGAAGCATTCCACAGTAGAACAGGCTGCCTCAGGAGGTGGCTGGCTCTCCTTCACTGGCAGGGTTTAAGCAGAGGCCGGCCTATTCACAGGGATGCTGTCGATTCCTGCATTGAGTAGAGGGGTTGGGCTCAATGACCTCTACAGATCTCCCAACTCTTAAATACTATGGTTCCTTTTTTCAAGGGCCATGTCAGGAATGCCCAACATGGCCCACACACACCCCAGGTGTCATGGATTAAGCAGTCTCAGCCAACCTGGCTAATGCTCATGGGAGCTGTGGTCCAACACATCTGGAAGGCACTGCATTGGCTACCGCTGTGTATGACTGGAGTCAGGGGGGAGAATCCCACATCTGGGCCCTGTTTTTGTGCACAGTTTCCTGTCCATCTACATACGTCCATGCACCTAAATTTGCTTCTTTGTGTGCGTAGACCCCGCATCTTGTTGCAACGCTCTCTGCAATATCCTAAATCCACAGCTTCAACTGTTCTGATCGTCACTTGATTCGTTATTAGCCTCAACCCTTTTTATTTTATTTTACTTTGCAAAAGAAATGGGCTGTTGAACGATGTGTATCATAGCTAATTAAACTTACTTTTTGCTCATTAAAGCTGAGTTAGCTGCTAAATGCGCCGTGACGTTATTCTAGTACAGTGAGTACAAAAGATGAAAAAGCACAAGGTGATTTTGATTATTATCGCAGCGAGTTCTCTTTAATTAATCTTACGTTTCCTTACGGAAATGTAAAAACCTCGGAGTCTGCCCCCTCCCTCCCCCCGTTTCCTATCATTCGTCTCATTCCCCCTGAACAAGTTCCAGTTGAAATACAACACCCACAATTGGATAACATTACATCTTCCCCCTTAAGAAAAGTGAAATCAGCATTCGTGTGTCTCAAAAGCAGTGGTGGGATGTAAAGGCTTAAAAAATTTATGGCAATCGCAGGAGCAGTTAACCAGGCAAAAGTGATTACCCCCACAGCTACACACACGCACACAAAAATTGACTTAGAAGAATGGGATGGCAGCAGTGGCAAGCGTGTATACAGGAGGGAGAAATTTGAGAAACACATTCACAATAAGCCATGTAGAGATCCCATGAGGACTGGGGCACAATCAAGCTTTTCTCTCTCTTTTCCTTTTCTACTCCAGCAGTTTTCTCATAATCACATTAGCAGCCAAGCAAAAAAAAAAAAAAAAACTTTTAAAAACCTGGTTTTATTTTTAGATGAGTCCTGAAGAGACTTGCAACAGTATGTATGTATGTATGTATGTATGTATGTATAAAATCATTTTGGTTCATGTTTCTGGATTTCGTACCTACAGGACTGCCTCTCCTGGTATGTCCCACGGAGAACCTTACGGTCTTCAAATAAAAACATCTTGGAGATCCCGGGCCACAGGGAGGTTAGGCTGGCCTCAACCAGAGCCAGGGCTTTTTCGGCCGTGGCCCCAATCTGGTGGAACGCTCTGTCACAAGAGACTAGGGCCCTGTGGGACTTGACATCTTTCTGCAGGGCCTGCAAGACGGAGCTGTTCCACCAGGCCGATGATGATGATGATGATGATGATGATGATGATGACGACAACAACAACAATTTATTATTTCTACCCCGCCCATCTGGCTGGGATTCCCCAGCCACTCTGGGTCTTCCAACAGAAGGTTAAAAATACATTAAAACATCAGTCATTAAAAACGTCCCTAAACACTCTGATTAAGAGTGGCTCTCTAGATCTCAGGCAGAATCCTTTCAATACCTGATACCAGACATCCTTTTTAATTGGAGGTGTTGGAAACTGACTGTATCAGAGGCAATGAGAAAAGGGTTCTCCAGTATCAATGAGGGTGAGGAAGGTGGAGAAGCTGGAAACCCTAAAGCAGGGGTCAGCAAACTTTTTCAGCAGGGGTCCAGTCCACTGTCCCTCAGACCTTGTGGGGGGCCGGACTATATTGGGGGGGGGATTAACGAATTCCTATGCCCCACAAATAACCCAGAGATGCACTTTAAATAAAAGGACACATTCTACTCATGTAAAAACATGCTGATTCCTGGACCATCCGCAGGCCGGATTGAGAAGGCAATTGGGTCGGATCCAGCCCCCGGGCCTTAGTTTGCCAACCCATGCCCTAAAGCAACTGCAGCCTCACAGTGAAAGGCAGGAGGGATCTAACTTAACAGACAGCCGACAAGTTGTGTTGATGTCACATACGATGTGAAGAGGGAGGCAAGTGAAAGTGGTTTAGAGAAACCAGCCTGCTAGGCTGAACGGTGAGGTGTGGCAGGCCAGGACTGGTAGTTCCTCACCCCCGACCCCTAGCTTCTCTGCCCCATTTGCTCTGTGGGCGATTTGATGCCTTGCCAGAGCATTTGCTGTGTGTATATACTGAAAGCGCCTATAACTTTATATTGATTGCAGTTACCGCCCATGCCATTTAACGCCCACAACAACCTTGTGAGGTAGGAGAGGCTGAGAGGAAGGGACTGGTGCAATGTCACCCAGTGAGTCTCATGACCAAGTGGGGATTTGGACCCTGGTCTCCCAGGTCCTAGTCCTGCACTCTAACCACTAGACCACGCTGGCCAAAAAAGCACCATCCATTCTGCCGCCACCCCCACAGTCACTCAGTGTTCCCTGCCTGTTGAGTATGCACTGTCCTATACTGAGGTGTTTGGGGTTTCCTCCCCACCTTAGGACCCTCCCTCCCCCCAAGTTTCCCATACTTCTCCAACTCTTGAAGTTCCCCCAAACCTCCTGTTGCCTTTTGGCCCCTCTCCTTTGGTTCTTTTGAAAATGGCAGCCATTTTGCGTTATGCTGCATTCATTTTGTGACTGGAGGTCCCCAAAAGTTGGCAATTTGTGCACACCATACCAGCATCTCCATCAAGAAGACAAATGACCCAGTTCATTGGACTGGATGCACCTTGAAGGTCAGCAGGTGTGGACTGCAGTTCTAATGGCACTTACCTGTAAGTAAGTCCTATTGCCCTTACTCTTTGGTTCTCTTTGGTCTAGTTTGCTGTGCACTCCTGATGGGACAACCTGGAGTCAACTGTGCCATGTAGAGAACCAGCAAAACTGCCAGTCCTTATCACTTCCGTATGTTTTTACCCATAATTCTGTTCCTGCATTATTTGGCTGGGACGCGGGTGGTGCTGTGGGTTAAACAACAGAGCCTAGGGCTTGCTGATCAGAAGGTCAGTGGTTCGAATCCCTGCGATGGGATGAGCTCCTGTTGCTCAGTCCCAGCTCCTGCCAACCTAGCAGTTCCAAAGCACATCAAAGTGCAAGTAGATAAATAGGTACCGCTCCGGCGGGAAGGTAAACGGCGTTTCCGTGCGCTGCTCTGGTTTGCCAGAAGTGGCTTAGTCATGCTTGCCACATGACCCGGAAGCTGTACGCCAGCTCCCTCGGCCAGTAAAGCGAGATGAGCGCCGCAACCCCAGAGTTGGCCACGACTGGACCTAATAGTCAGGGGTCCCTTTACCTTTATTATTCAGCTACTCCTTTAAAAAACTTCTCACAATGCTATCTAAATCCGTATTTTATTGTGTATTTAAATGTGCACCTATTCTTAAGATACATAATGAGTGTTGCCTCTCAAAACGTGGATTAAAATGCATGTTTGATATTATTTAGCTTAGATTGCAGAGAACGGCGTTCCAACATTTGGAGAAAGTGCAAAACCTGGTGGGTTGCTAAATTCAGTCTGCACATTACTCTGAGGTGTGGATCAGATCATCTCATGTAGGGACTTGCAAAGATTTCATTCCTCAAGCATCACTAGTCATATAACATATATTTGCACCACAGATGATACTGCTATATATATATGGAGGGGGGAACAGAAAACATGACTAGAGAGAGCTACAAGCAATCTCAAGGAGATCTAATGACCAGTCTGGGTAGACAGCAGCAGCCCAGAAGGTACTTTGCTAAGAAGCTGCCATCCGCAGTTCAGTGGTTCACCGCACAGTGAACTGTGCACAAATCCCAGCACCTCCAGACAGCACCAAGCTTTCCTCCCACACCGCCTGGCGACCAGAATCCATAAAGCGACAGCGTTAACCAGGAGAGCTGCAGGTGGAATCAAACTCACAGAATTTTGTTGCAACTACTGGATGAGGAAGAAGTTTCGCATACAACGCCTCATTGAGCAGCAACAGCCTGGAAGAAGGAAGCTGGCAACGCTTCATTTGTGTGATGAGAGATCTCAGCAGGTGGACAGGAAAGTGCGGGTGGATGGAGAACATCTTCCAGGAAGCTGAACAAAGGGCTGGTCCTTTGGGCATCGCAAATCACAGCAGGGCTGAAGGACCTGTCCACGTCCCTTCAATCCTGAGTGGCAGAATTTAGAAGAGTCAAGACAGAGAAAACCTCCTGTCACACAGCAGCAGGCAAGTGAGAGGAAGCACCAACACTGGTCAAAAGCAGCCAAGGTGAAACTTCTTCAAGAATAAACTCATGGGTAACACATATGTGGCTGTCCCAACCTGATGGTCTTCAGATCTTGGAGCCTAGTAGTGGAGAAGGACAGGTCTGGTGGCTGAATGGAGTCCTCCTAGCCTTTCTCTCTGGCCCCTCAGCACTCTCCCCAGGCCACTCCACCCACCCTCCCCACTGGTCTTGCTTTGCACCCTCCATTATTGCTTTTGCCTGGCTGGAAAAACACTCTTCAACTCTGACAATGCCTCTTTGCCTTGGATGAAGGGGGGAGAGAGGTGTGTGAAGGCTTGGGATGTAAAATGTTCCTGCTCCTGTTGTGGTCCAACATCTGGGGGACACCAGATTGGGGGCCTCAGAAGTTGCCAAGGGCAACCAAAAAATGGCCTCAAGGGCCACATGCAGCCCTTAGGCCAGGAATTGGAACAAACTGCCATAGATATAATTCAGTAATATTGCATCTGGCTACAGGTCTTTGAAATTTCTAGGCTTCTTGAACTGCTAGAAGTGGCATAGGTCTGGACAAAAACACAGCTCATTATTTCCACATGGTATTTCTTGCCAACGGAAGGAACTCGACTTGCCCTAACCAAAATTGCCCTCTGAGAGCAGGGTAGTCCCGCCTTGTGCTGTGCAATTAATTCTAATATTCCCGTTGTCAGAGCATAATTGCAGTTTCTCTGCTCAGGTAAAAGGGACTCTAACAAGGCACCCAGATCCATTCCAGATGTTCTCTCGCTCGTTATTAAGAATTAGCTGGGAGCCATTAGCACGCAGAGCCATCCGTGAGGATGCTCAGATGCCATCTGGAAGAGTTCATTGCCACAGCATGTGAGGCAGATGGGAGGTTGTTTGGGAAGCTTGAACTGTAGGATTTTCTTCGTTTAAAAGAAACAAAAAAAGAATGAAAGCGGGAAAGTGTATTAATTATGATTTCATGAGCCTCTACTGCTGTGCTGGGGGAATGAAAATTTATCACAGTTTGAAAGAGGTCAATGACAACTACCAGAGGGTGTGATGTCCTGGTAGAAATTAGAAGAGGAATTCGATTCAGTTCTCACTGACAGCCAAAGTTATCTAAATCTGCACTTTCTTCAGCAACTAGCCACCCTTTGAAATCTGCACTTCCCTGAATTTTGCAATGCAATTCTCCAGCTCAAGTAGTGTGTAAAAATGCATCTACTCATGTAAAGTGTGCATTCAATGCACATACAGTGGTACCTCAGGTGCAGACGCTTCAGGTTACAGACTCCGCTAACCCAGAAATAGTACCTTGGGTTAAGAACTTTGCTTCAGGATGAGAACAGAAATCACGCGGCAGCAGCGGGAGGCCCCTTTAGCTAAAGTGGTACCTCAGGTTAAGAACAGTTTCAGGTTAAGAACGGACCTCCAGAATGAATTAAGTTCTTAACCCAAGGTACCACTGTATTAGTGAAAATGACACTGCAAAAATGCATTACATTGTGGGGAAATGCTTTGCAAAGATGTTTATATTAGACAAAACAGCATGCACAGATGGGTATATTAGGAGAACTTTTCACTAAAATGCAAAAGAACGAACTGTTGTGGAAATGTGGAGCGCCAAGCTTAAGACTGGGCAAAATGAGACACTGAGAGGAACCAGAATTGGCATATTCCTCCATCCCTCCATCCTAGACTGTATCCTCAACAACACAAATGAAACTTGGTCTGCAAGTCAAACTGAAGGAACAAGGAAAGAGGAAGGGCTGCGGAGAGGTTGCCCTGCTTTAGATGTCTTCACAGTGAGTTGTGGAGGGGCAGAGGGAGGGGACACTAGTGGCACAGTTCATGAAGAATTGGCAGCTGCTCTGGGGTCAAGTAGAAGCGGAGGGGCAGGCATCAAGAATAATGGGGCTTTTGAATTCGTGACAAAGGAATGGGATCGGGCTAATAGCTGTTCTCCAAATGACCTGCTGTTCCTTTTTTTTCTTTTGCCCCATCTCCATCTAAAGCCTGCATAGTTCTCAGCCTCTCCCATTATTCTCTCCTTTCCACCCAAAGAAAGAGGCCAGTTTAGTTTTTCTTCACAAAAAGGTCACAACCAAGCTGGCTGGGCACTGGTCCAGGTTAACCGTCTCAAGCCAGAGTCTAGGAATTGGTTCACATTTATTACATTTTTATCCCTCTCTTCTTTCAAAGAGGTTTTGTGACATGCCTGCACAGTTTTACTCTCACGATGATCCTGTAAAGTCAGGTCCAACTGAAAGCCTGTTGTCCAAAGGCACCCAGCAAGCTCTGTGGCTGAGGAGGGATTTGAACTTGGATCTGTCAGAGATCAGGAGTTGGATTCTTCATCAGGTGACAGAGTCAAGGGTTCTGAAGGGCACCCTGTGCCAGCCCCAGAGACATGGCTATAGCAGTGAACCTGTGGGTCCACCACCTGCTCCCAGAATGAAGGTGTGGCACTGTCTGACTCTGAGGTCCACATTGTGAAAGACCCTGGAAGACTTGAGCTTCTCCTGCTCTGTCACATCTGGAAGTTACCGGAGAAGTCCGGAACCCTTTAAGCATCTTGCAACACAACTGGTGTTAATAGTTAGGCTGCACCTGGTGTTATCTCTTATGAAAGGGTTCAGTTTAGGCTTGTTCCTTGCTGGGGCAATTTCAGACCTCTGCATTCCCCAAAGATGAGCCTGGCCTTGTCAGACTGCAGGACAGGACAGGACCACTCCCAGTTTATTTCCAACACCTTAACTGCTGCTCCATGTAATGACCACCTAGAAATCCACTTGCTGGCCATGGAATGTTCTGTTGGAGAACCCAGCGCAAAGAAGTTCCACGTTCTGCCATCCATGACCTTCAGGATTTGCTTGGCTCCACTCATAAGCCACCAGTCCGTTATTGACCCAATTTCTGCTGGTTGTGTCTCTCCACTTCCTGGTGGTACCAGCCTAGGACTGGAATGGACCAGAGAGGAAGAGAAGCTCCTTACCAAGTTCAAGAGGACATGAGAAGACACCAATGACGAGCCTGAGACCACCATACTGGGAAATACTCTGCTTGTCAGGAGCAGGTCAGCAATAACTCACATGGCGTCAGTGAAGTTAACTCTTTATTCAAAGAAGCAAGAAAGCTCAGGAGGCCAGGCCTAGTGAGCACAGCAACTCTTCCCAGTAGATCTTGCCCCAATGAGACGTGAGGACTGAAGGCCTCCGCCTTCCCACAACTTCCGAAGGCTCCTCCTCCCCCAGGTCCTTCCAAAGCAGTCTGGGACTTTGTCGCCTTGTCTGGCTGTGCTCCACCCTCTTCATATCTTTTCTGGTTCTGTGAATCCAGCGGGGAGGGAAGCTGGTTGCAGCAGGAGGGGGAGCCCCCTGACTTCTGCATCAGCCTGATTCATCTCTGCTTTTTGGCCGCCCTCCTCAACAGCCTCTACTTCTTCCTCTAATCCTGAACTGCTCTCTGCCACAGTCTCTCCCATCTCACTAAACCCTGTTACTTCTTAAGCTTCCGACACCTCCTCCTCCCAGTCTGCTCCCTCTTCTCCCTCTGACCATGCATTGTCATCCCACCAGCAGTCCCCTGGCTCTGAGCCTTCTTCCCTTGGGGGTTCCCAAGCTGGTGCCTCCCCCCACCCACTCCTCTGCATCCAGCCAGCCCATGACACAGGTTCATGAGACCACCAGCACTTTAGTCCAGCCAAGATCAGACCCAGGAGCAAAGGCAGCAGCAGGCCTGAGTGAAAGCGCAGAGCCAGATTTTTGGTTTTTCAAGTTAAGAAGGGAGCTGAGAAAGTCATTCTGTTGAGAATTTTGACGGGACATTGTGCTCTTTGGAGTAAAGGTAAAGGAACCCTGGACAGTGAAGCCCAGTTGACCATGGGCTGCTACTGCTGCACAGAGGACCAGAATACAGAGAAATGTCGTTCACCATTGCGCTGGTATGCTTTTGAACTGCTAGTTTGGCAGAAGCTGGTTCAGAGCGACAGACAGACCCACGTTACTTCGGAGTAATTTATGTATGGTTGGAAAGAGGCGGGTGGTGCTGTGGTCTAAGCAACTGAGCCTCTTGGGCTTGCTGATCAGAAGGTTGGTGGTTCGAATCCCCGCAACGGGGTGAGCTTCCGTTGTTCATCCCAGTTCCTGCCAACCTAGCAGTTCGAAAACATGCCCAAAAGTTCAAGTAGATAAATAGGTACCACTCCGGCGGGAAGCTAAACGGCGTTTCCGTGTGCTGCTCTGGTTTCGCCAGAAGCGGCTTAGTCATGCTGGTCACATGTCCTGGAAAAACTGTCTACGGACAAACGCCAGATCCCTCGGCCTGTAAAGCGAGATGAGCGCCGCAACCCCAGAGTCATCTGCGACTGGACTTAACTGTCAGGGGTCCTTTGCCTTTACCTTTTTTGGTGGGAAGATTTACACTGATCTTGGTGAAGTTTCTAAGGTAAAGGAAACAGCTGACTGTAATATGGGGTTGTTTGCCACACATGGATGAAAGAGAGCCTCTCTTTCAAAAGAAATTAATGAGCTGGGCATTGCGCATTTGTCTCTGGGGCTGCCCTTCAAGATAAAAATCTTTCAGGCTCTGTTTTAGAGACTATAGATGTCTTGGAGTGATATGGGCCTTTATGCTCGATTGCGCGTGAGGTGTAATAATGTTACAATCAGTAGATGGTGGCAACAGAGCCTGATCTTGTAACCGTTATTAAACAAGGAGGAAGAAAAGGAAATATGTAGAGATCCACCGTACATTTGAAGCACATGATTTCTCCCAAAGAATCCTGGGAGATGTAGTTCTTTAAGGGTGTAGCTCTGTGAGGGGTAAACTATAGTGTTCAGGCATTGTTCCAATTCAGCAGGAAAAAGCAGGTTTTCCCAGGGAAAGTGGCAGGATAAACAAAAACCTCTCTGTGCATAGGACAACCAGAAAACTCTCACATATTTGCTTTATGGTCACATAAAAAGTGGAAATATGGACAAGCCCTAAGTTGAAGAAAAATGCACATACTGGGGTAAAGTGTCCACAGAAATGGAGGAAGGATAGTGGCTAACAGATTGAGGTTGAATCCTGACAAGACAGAAGTACTGTTTTGGGGAGACAGAAGGCAGGCAGGTGTGGAGGACTCCTTGCTCCTGAATGGGGTAACTGTGCCCCCTGAAGGACCAGGTGTGCAGCCTGGGAGTCATTTTGGACTCACAGCTGTCCATGGAGGCGCAGGTCAATTCTGTGTCCAGGGCAGCTGTCTACCAGCTCCATCTGGTACGCAGGCTGAGACCCTACCTGCCCGCAGACTGTCTCTCCAGAGTGGTGCATGCTCTGATAATCTCCCACTTGGACTACTGCAATGTGCTCTATGTGGGGCTACCTTTGAAGGTGACCCGGAAACTACAACTAATCCAGAATGCGGCAGCTAGACTGTTCACTGGGAGTGGCCGCCGAGACCAGGTAACACCGATCTCAAAAAATCTACATTGGCTCCCAGTACATTTCCGAGCACAATTCAAAGTGTTGGCGCTGACCTTTAAAGCCCTAAATGGCCACGGTCCAGTATACCTGAAGGAGCGTCTCCACCCCCATCGTTCTGCCCGGACACTGAGGTCCAGCACCAAGGGCCTTCTGGTGGTTCCCTCGCTGCGAGAAGCCAAGTTACAAGGAACCAGGCAGAGGCAGATGGCCTTTTCGGTAGTGGCACCCGCCCTGTGGAACGCCCTCCCATCAGATGGCAAAGAGAAAAACAACTACCAGACTTTTAGAAGACATCTGAAGGCAGCCCTGTTTAGGGAAGCTTTTAATGTTTGAAGGACTACTGTATTTTAATATTTTGTTGGAAGCCCCCCAGAGTGGCTGGGGAAACCTAGCCAGATGGGCAGGGTATAAATAATAAATATTTATTTATTTAGTAAAAAATGCATTAATTAATGAAAATTGGTTGGAAAAATGTGTGCGGTAGGACAAATTCACACGAAAATGCCGATGAATTTAGCGAGCCAAAAAAAAAAAAATCCAAAACCAATGTGAGAATGTGGAGAGCTGAGTTTAAGATTGGCAAAATGAGAAACTGAGGAAAAGCCGAGTGGGATCTGTCATTAGATTAGCTGAGATTCCTGCATTGCAGAGGGTTGGACTAGATGACCCCCAGGGTCCCTTCCAGCTCTGCAGTTCTATGATTCTACCAGGGCAGGGCACTTCCATCAACAAAACTGGCTTTTTCTTGCCTCTTCTGCCCGCTTGACATTTTGGGAGAAATAGTCTTGTCAGAGCATCCTGGCAACAGATAGATGCGCACAAATGCTAACCCTCCAGCACGGAAGTGTCCTCATTAGGCGGAACGGTTCTCTCCGCTGAGACCTGAATTACTGATGAGGCAGTCGCCTGGATTTTGGAGAGTTGCAGATGTGGATTTCTCCCTCTGTGATCTCCCCATGGGCTCTCCAGCTCCTCAGCGCCCTTCGCCTTGGGTGGCAGCCATCATCTTTAATCTCCAGCCTGTTATGGGAACAGACTTGTTGACATCCGTCCCCCTCACAACTGGAAAGGAGAGACTAATTAGAGCTCGTGAGGAGATATGACACCACATTAGGAGGATTTTGCTGAGGGGGGAAGAAAGGGAGAGAGAGAGAGAGACGGGAGGAAGGGAGAAAGCAGCATATGAACCGTCCTGGGTGTGGTTATTCATCTCTCCAACGCGACAAGCCATTTATCTCTCTCTTTCTGCTTAGGAACAAGAATCCCTGAGAGGAAATTTTGTAAGAGCACCGAGGGAGCACATTAAGGGGAGGATAGCACAAAGCTCATCCATCTGTCAAAGCGAGGGGGTTTGTCAGACGGTGACGCTCGCGACTGAAGGGAATCAAAGTGGCGCTGAATTGGAAAACGGCACACAGGTGGCATTCAGTTGGATTTCCCAGGTTTGAATTTAAAATTGTTGAGGTAAAAAGAGAAATGCATGGGGACCAGCCCCTGACTGGGAGTGTTCGGTCCCAGGCCTCAGATATTCGAATTCATAAAATGAAAGGAAATTATGACCTAGCATTTTGCTTCTTTGTGGTTAAACCAGAGAAGCTGTGGGTGACTGGGGTTAGGATCTGTGCCCATTCCCAAAATCATTTAGTGATTCCTTTATCTAATATATTTCTTTGTCACTTTTCACACAGAGAAGAGTGTCTCAAGGTGTCTTCCCGCATAAAAGGCATTGTTGTTGTTGTTTAGTCGTTTAGTAATGTCCGACTCTTCGTGACCCCATGGACCAGAGCACGCCAGGCACTCCTGTCTTCCACTGCCTCCCGCAGTTTGGTCAGACTCATGCTGGTAGCTTCGAGAACACTGTCCAGCCATCTTGTCCTCTGTCGTCCCCTTCTCCTTGTGCCCTCCATCTTTCCCAACATCAGGGTCTTTTCCAGGGAGTCTTCTCTTCTCATGAGGTGGCCAAAGTATTGGAGCCTCAGCTTCAGGATCTGTCCTTCCAGTGAGCACTCAGGGCTGATTTCCTTCAGAATGGATCGGTTTGATCTTCTTGCAGTCCATGGGACTCTCAAGAGTCTCCTCCAGCACCACAATTCAAAAGCATCAATTCTTCGGCGATCAGCCTTCTTTATGGTCCAGCTCTCACTTCCATACATCACTACTGGGAAAACCATAGCTTTAACTATACGGACCTTTGTTGGCAAGGTGATGTCTCTGCTTTTTAAGATGCTGTCTAGGTTTCTCATTGCTTTTCTCCCAAGAAGCAGGCATCTTTAAAAGGCATTAAAACACTTTAAAACAACAACAACAACCAATATAAGACACAATACCTGGACATGCTCATCCTAGATAAATAATCCAATTCTTCCCACCCCACTAAGCGATGGCCAGGAGGCCTGAGTTAACAGAAATGTTTTAACCTGGCACCTAAAGGAAACAATGAAGGCATCAGGTGCACTTCCCTGGAGAGAGAGAATTCCACAGACAGGGAGTCACCCCTGTGAAGGCCTGTTTGTATCTTGACACCACCTGCATGGGAGGTGTTGACCCAAAAATCTGGAGGACACGAGGTTGGCAAAGACTGCTCTACGTCATTATTTCTACAGCTGCTGCTCTTGCGATGAGCTGTCTGTTTTACCACAAAGAAGGTCCACTGTGAAGTCCCCAGCTGGGTGTGACAATATACTGGCCATTAATTGTCCTATTTTTAAGAATGTTCAAACTTCTCACACTGGATCTGTGTACTTAGCTATGCCTCAAAACAGAATCACGCCCTGCTGGTGGACTTCCCAGAGTCATTTCAAGAGTCACTGTGAGAACAGGATGCTGGACTAAGTGGGCCTTTGGCCTGATCCAGAAGGACTCTTCTTAAATTCTAAAATCTGCCTAGATGGTTTGAACAATAATGCTGAATTCCCCACTCTTTATTATCACAGTTTTGCCACTGTGCCATAAGCAAGCCACCATAATCTTTGTCTCAGGCACACACACCTGTCTCAATTGAGGGTTAAATCCCAGCTGGTGTCAAGAGCGGAGAGCTTGTCAGACTCAAACCCGTCAACTGTCCTGATTTAATCGAGACACCCCAGATTTTAGCCCTGCGGCTCTCGCCCTTGACTGTGGCAGCCACAGCAGGTACTTCCAAATTCCTCAGGCATCTGAGTGAGCAGAGAAGAGTGTGCAGCCATGCAAAAGGTGTGACATGTGCCCCATCCTGGCTGGGAGGCAGATGGCTATGTGGGTGCCCATAGTCCCTGAGTGGCAGCACTGGTACTGGCTAGAGGGCGGCTACCTCTGTCCAGTGTTGGAGCAGAAGGCAGCGGACTCCAGCTCTGGCTCCTGCCACACCTCCTCTCTGTCTCCCGACTGCCTACATTCTTCATAGGCAGCCGGCTTTAAGGGGAGTGTGCGCGCTCTCAGTCTCCAGTAAACCTGTCCTGCTGGGGTGAGATCCTGGCCTTGTTGTGGGTGTCAGGAGTTCAGCTTACACTTGAGTATGACCCTGGCAAAGACACATGCCCAACTGGCATGTTCTCTCCCTCCTGTTCGATCGTTTGGGAGCTTCATAAGCTTTCTTCTGCCCTGAACATCACAGCGACCGACGCCAACTGACACTGGCACACTTAGGGATCCGCAGAGTTTGCGCAACTTGCGTGACAGACCTCAGCAACTCAGCATTTTGGCTAATCTACTTTATTTACATATAAACACACAGACAGCACTGCAACATGGCTCCTTCTCTCTCAAGCATCAGACAGCAAAGAGAAAAGGAACAAACGACAAGAGTCCCACTTCACGGAACACAGTAACACAAACATCCTGTCTCCATCACTGCGGAGTCAAAACATATACCGTCATGTGATAGACAAAAATCCCATGACTGCAATCATGGAGCAGGAATTCTAACAGTGGGTTGGGCAGGATGACTCTCAGGAACCCTCCACTCTGCAGTTCTATGAGTCTATGATTCTCTTAGCAAAGGATATGCATCCCGATTTCCCTTTGTGGCATGCTGAGGGGTACATGCACTTTTTGTCTTTGTCGGAAACAGATGTCAAGAAGATGTCAAGAAGTTCTGGTTCAAGTCAGGAGCTAATAATGCCTGAGCCTGAACTTAATTCCTTGGTGATTTCATCGACTGCCATGTCATTAACTCCTTCTGTGATCAATGCCATCGCTGCAGGGAGGTATTGGATAAAGAGGGAGAAGTGTCAGATCTTCCTGTGCCACGTTAGGAATCCTGTGGATTGTTAGTGGGGTGGATTTTAAAAGAGGCATTCACACAGGCGAGCAGAATGATCAAGGGAGAGCTACCATATGAGCAAGGGTTACAGCATCTGAGGCTTTTGAGTTTAGGAAAAAAGACTAGAAAGGGAGGAGATGCTGAGGATGTACAACGTTACGCACAATGGAGAGAAAAGGAATTGTTTCTACCTCTCGTGTTAGGACTCTGGGCTAGATACTGAAGCTGAATGTCAGGAGTTTCAGGGCAGATCATAAGAAGTACTCCACACAGCACACAGTTAAAACTGTGGAATTTCTTCCCGTAAGAACTAGTGAGATGGCTGCCAACTTAGACAGCTTAAAACGGGGATTGGGAAAGTTCATGGAGGAGAAGGCTCTTAATGGCTGGCTGCTAGCCATGATGCCCATGACCTGGTTCCACTGTTGCAGGCCATACTACGAGGGAGGTGTTGTGCTCATGTCTTGCCTGTGGGCTTGCCATAGGACCCCACTTGGCCACAGTGAAAACAGGATGCTGGAGAAGATGGGCATTTGGTCTGATCCAGCTGCAGATCCCTTCCTATGTTCTTATCACTGTCCAAACTTCTTGTTTGGCTTGCACTCTCTCTCTCTCTCTCTCTCTCTCTCTCTCTCTCTTTCATACCTTTGCTCTGAACACACACATACACACACTCCATTTAAAAGCTCACAAATACTTGATCAGATCAAAACGATCATGATCTTGCCCATTCAGTGCATCAAACATGTTAAACCTTAAATAAAAAGCAAAGACAGGGATGACGACATACCCACAGTGTTTTATGAGGAATGGGAGAAGAAAGTTTGTGGTGGTAGAATTTTAATGTTCTCCTTCACTACTCACACTGCCGTTTAATAAAAGCAAAGAAGAGCAGTTCCACCCATGGATAAATTTCTGGACACACTCTTTTTTTCGGTCCCCTTTTCTTTCTTTTTTCTATTGTTCACTGATTGGTAAAATTTGCAAGAAGAGCTCTATAAAGGATATTTTTGGTAACCCACATTCAGGAGTTCATTGCCATTAGATCAAGCTAATTGCCTGCCTTGTATTCCACTTGGCAACTTGTTAAACTAATTGAACAATAGAAGAATATAATGAACTATTATAATGAAGTTTATAATTAGCTGCCTGGAAAGGAACCCAGCATGAAAATATTTAAGATGCAAAAATATTACAGCATATTTAAAAGAGGGGGGAATGGGAAGGGGGGGACACCGGTAATTGTTTCAACTTGAATTGGAACCAGATCCTTACTTGGTCTCCTCAAGGAGCTCAATAATGCTGAGCATATCTCTTCATCCCTGATCAGGGATTCATTTTGGGTATTGATGGAACAGGTGGAGGCCGGTCAGCTGAGGTGAATCCCTGGTAAGGATGAAAGGAGAGAGGGGCATTATGGGGAAAGTTATGTGTGTATATATATGCAATTTAAAAAAGTTCAAGTGTGTAAGAAGAGTACTGCTGGATCAGACCAAAGGCTCGTCTAATCCAGATTTCTGTACTCACAGTGACCTACCCCAGAGCTGGCCTTAGGAGTGGGTAAGCTGGGCAGTCACTTGGGGCAAAGAGCTGAGGGAGCACCAAGCTGAGCTCAGCGACTCTGTGTTTTTAATGTACTGTCTGCAGTGAGCAAGCGTAGCAAAAGTCAAGTGTCTGCAACCATTCAATCACATTCAAACACACACACTGCCTCAAGGTTCTACAGGTTATTTGGATACTAACTGCAAAGATGACCCTCCTTCTTAAAGTATTTTCTTTTTTGATTCCCACTTCGATGTCATTTGCGCTGGGGAAACTGTGGAACACAGCTTTACTTTGAGGAAACATTGCCAAACACTTAGCACTTCAAATACTATTGTTGCTGTTGCTGGCATCTGTCTGTCTCAAGAGACAATACAGTGTGACTCTGAAGCTGAAGTCAAACCACTGGAGAATTACAGCGCTTGCTGCAGCTGCAGAAACTGGTAACTCGTAACTGCTGTGTTCTATGTTGTTTCTGCTGTGTTAAAAAGGTAAAGTTAAAGGATCCCTGGCAGTTAAGCCCAGTTGCAGATGACTCTGGGTGGCAGCAACTGTTAAGAGCTTTTTAAAAAGTGGGCTAGACAGACACACACACACACACACACACACACAGCACCAGGGCTGAATTCTGAGGCTGCCAACAAAGGAACAATCTCCACTCCGCCCACCAAATGGACAGATGGATCAGTAGGTGTGTGAGCTCTTTTTTTACACGCTTCTTTACGGTATGACATTTTGGCAACCAGGCGGGGTCGTGGGGTTGGCAAGTTTCTCCTGCTTTGCATCTTTCTTTCAAGTCGCCACCTGGCTCCCTCCCTCCCTCTCTGTCTGTCTCAAGGGGGATCCAGTCCCTGATACACTCAAACGGAAGAGGCTCTTGCAAGCCAGACGGTCCCAGGTACTGCAGCTGACACACTGAGGCAGGTGAACATGCAATTACTAGAAGGGGTGGCGGGGGGAGGGAGAAAAGGACCAACTTTAGCTAAGGAGAAATGAAGAAAATAACCCAACCCTGTACCATTCAAACCCTTCTCAACAGGATTTATCCTCCTGAGCCAACCAATCATTTTTAGTCGATCTAAGCAGCAAGCCAGAAATTCTGACTGCTCTAGAATGTCACAAGAGAATAACTATGCAAAGTAAAGGTAAAGAACCCCTGACCATTAGGTCCAGTCATGGATGACTCTGGGGTTGCGGCGTTCATCTTGCTTTATTGGCCAAGGGAGCCAGCATACAGTTTCTGGGCCTTGTGGCCAGCATGACTAAGCCACTTCTGGTGAAACCAGAGCAGCGCACAGAAACGCCGTTTACCTTCCCGCCGGAGCGGTACCTATTTATCTACTTGCATTTTTTGGTGTACTTTTGAACTGATAGGTTGACAGGATCTGGGATTGAGCAACGGGAACTCACCCCATCGCGGGGATTCGAACCGCCGACCTTCTGACCGGCAAGCCCAAGAGGCTCAGTGGATTAGACCACAGCGCCACCCACGTCCTGCTGTGTTAACACCTGCTGTGTTAGCAGCACCCAAGTGACCTTCCAGGCAGTGTGTATGGAAGTCCTGGGCTGCCCAGATGACAAGACCCCCATCCAGGCCTTGCTGATATGATCCAAAGGAAAGGAGAGCAATACGTTTGGCACCAGCTTGGCTGTAGGAGTTAGAATCATAGAATCATAGAGTTGGAAGAGACCACAAGGGCCATCGAGTCCAACCCCCTGCCAAGCAGGAAACACCATCAGAGCACTCCTGACATATGGTTGTCAAGCCTCTGCTTAAAGACCTCCAAAGAAGGAGACTCCACCACACTCCTTGGCAGCAAATTCCACTGTCGAACAGCTCTTACTGTCAGGAAGTTCTTCCTAATCTTTAGGTGGAATCTTCTTTCTTGTAGTTTGGATCCATTGCTCCGTGTCCGCTTCTCTGGAGCAGCAGAAAACAACCTTTCTCCCTTCTCTATGTGGCATCCTTTTATATATTTGAACATGGCTATCATATCACCCCTTAACGTCCTCTTCTCCAGGCTAAACATGCCCAGCTCCCTTAGCCGTTCCTCATAAGGCATCGTTTCCAGGCCTTTGACCATTTTGGTTGCCCTCCTCTGGACACGTTCCAGTTTGTCAGTGTCCTTCTTGAACTGTGGTGCCCAGAACTGGACACAGTACTCCAGGTGAGGTCTGACCAGAGCAGAATACAGTGGCACTATTACTTCCCTTGATCTAGATGCTATACTCCTATTGATGCAGCCCAGAATTGCATTGGCTTTTTTAGCTGCCGCGTCACACTGTTGGCTCATGTCAAGTTTGTGGTCAACCAAGACTCCTAGATCCTTTTCACATGTACTGCTCTCAAGCCAGGTGTTGCTGGAAAGAGGCATACAAGGCTCCATCCAACTGTTGTAGGGACTGCAGATTTGTGTAGGGTTTACTCCTTAGCCTTTTCTTCTCCTGAAGATGTCTCTCAAAGCGGTGGGTAATACAGTAAACTACACTATATACTATAAACTATAAACACTATATAAATAAAAATAAAATAAAATGAAGCTGTAAGAGGTCAGCTGGATACCTTCATATTTATGACTTTATTATTTTTAAGCATAAAAATAATGGATACTCTAAAATAAAGAATGCTCACCAAAAGAAAAGGAAAAACCAAACCAGGAACTGCTATGAAACAACAAATATTAGAAGTCAAACCTGCGATAGTTCTGCAGTGTTATATGGCACACAGCCACACTGTGGCTTTTTCGAGGTGTGGTTTGTGCAAACTGCAGAACACTGGCTGAGAGATCAAGGTTTTGAGCAATGCCATTCTCAGCAGATAGGACAAGTAGTGATGTGAGCCTCTCCTCCATCACGGTAGATCACAAGGACATTTTGATGAACTTCAGTTTTGAGAAGCTACACTCACCACAGGCAACTTGTAAGTGGATTTGTCAGGAGAATTCATAGTGTGACCCAGACATGAGAGAAGACACTTGGGTATCCCCGATGTACTTTGGGGCATGTCATGGGGAGCCTTTCCCAGGAGGAAGGATGCGATGGAGACATCCCGGCGCAACACAACAATCTGCACCACCCGTGTCAGTGATTACCATCAGACAGGCCTCTATGCAGGTCCAAACAGTGGGTGGCCTGTGTCTCTTCTAGTAACTTTTCAAGGTTGTACAAGAATCCCTATGTATTCCTGTGAGAATCAAGCAGTTCAAATCACTCTTCTCTTGAAACACAAGCTGTGTTTACAAGAATTCCTGCCTGAATATTTATTCTGGACTACTGCACTCCTCAGTGCCTGGCGTGCTCTGGTCCATGGGGTCACGAAGAGTCGGACACAACTAAACGACTAAACAACAACAACTGCACTCCTCATCGTGAGTCTGACGTTCACATTCAAACTGCCTCTTCTTGCAGCGCTTACATGGGGAGTCCTTGAAAGTGGCTTCAACATCAAGAGCTTCCACGAGCCCTTTGGCTGCGATAACTGCCTCTGGGCAGATGCTTTCCTGTTTTGTTTTTCCTCAACCACAACTGGCTTCTAAATATCTGGGATCAAAACTTAGGGTCCCGAATCAGAGACTATGATGCCTACTATGCATTCATGAGTCTCAACACCTTCCTTACCAGAACTGATAGCACAAGGGTAGCCAGCATGGTGCCTTCAAGGACTACAATCGCCATCATCCGCTGGCCACTGGGCAGGCTGACTGAGACTGATGGAATTTGGAGTCCAGCAGTCGGGGGAGGGGGCACCACATTGCCTATCCTTGTCTTAGTGCTTTAGGTATAATTCAAGCTGTACTTTTAAACCAGTTCTTTGATCCTAAGGGATGATAAACAGCGTTGCCACACTGATGGAACAGCTCACAAAATCTTGACAAACCAATCTATCAATCCCATGCCAAATATGATCTCCTCCCCCCCCCCTTTTTTTTTCCTACCTTCAGGGGCTAGAAATGAGAGGCATAAACGTTTTGCTCCAAAAGCATGATTGTGTAATGGAATTTGGATTGCTACAAGAACAGGAGGGGAAAGCGGAGAGGGAAGAAAAAATGTCCAATAAAATAAAAATTAAACCTACTGCTCTGCCTCCCTAGTCAGATTTAAATGACACTTGGTTCTGGCATTACGTCTCTCTGCCCTACAAAGCTGAGAGAAGTAAATTGAAAACTGGGAGAAGAGATAGAAGCAGTGGCCTTTGAGGTGTTTAATTTACAGGGTCAAGCAGGTAACCTAATAGAATTGTCACATTGGATTCAGAAATGTTACCAAAACTCAGAATCCTTGCATTTCTATGCTGGAGTAATAAGGCATTACAGCAGCCTTGACCAACCTGGGGCCCACCAGATGTTTTAGACTGCAACTTCCATACAGTCATACCTCATGTTACGTCCGCTTCATGTTACGTTATTTCAGGTTACGTCCCATGGCGACCCGGAAGTACTGGGAAGGGTTACTTCTGGGTTTCGCCGCTCACGCATGCGCAGACGTGCAAAATGACTTCACGCACATGCGCAGAAGCGGTGAATTGCAACCTGCGCGTGCTGAAGGTTGCGTTCTCTTCATGTTGCAAACGGGCTTCCGGAACGGATCCCATTCGCAACCAGAGGTACCACTTTATTTTCCTGAGCTTTGACCCTGGCTGCCTGGGCTGATGGGAGTTGGAGTCTGACGAAATCTGGAAAGGTATCCCTTGGTTTATCATCTATTTCAGGGCCAGGGAAGCCGTTGCCCTTCGGATGTTGTTAGACTCCAGCTCCTATCAGCCCAAGCAACCCAGGTCAAAGGTCACAAAAAATGTATTGTCTCTTATTCCTTTCGATCTGGGCACTGCTAAACTACAACTCCCATCAGCTCTAAGAGGCTTTGGAGACCCCCTACTCCACTCACAGAGCTGCAGA